AGACCCTAAATCCTTACCCTGGAGCATGGAATACTAAACATAAGCTCTGGACGGATTATCGCAAAAATTTTGCTTCTCTAGAAGTCTTTTCGCAGCATTAAACTTTAAGCACTTTGTGAACATCTTTTGGTTTCTTTGTGCCATGCGCTGCTGTTGTAGCCGCTGCTGCTTGTACATGTGGTGATACCAGTGCTCTCACTGCTGCTCATTTTATTGTGGCTCCTGCCTCTACTGCTGATGCTGGTGCTGTTCCTCGCTACTACTTTTGCTCCTACCTGTGTTGCAGGCGCTGTTGGTGCTGCTGTGTGTGGGTGTTCCCGTTTGCTGCTGCGGATACAGAGCAGAAGCGCAGCAGCTGCGGCACGAGTTGCTGCTGCTGAAGCGGCGCATGCAATGCGAATCAGCAGCACAGCAAGCGCAATACGAGGCTGATACAGCAGCAGCTCGAGCGGCCTGGGAGTCTGAAAAACAAAAGCTTATAATCAAAAACAGAACTCTTCAAACAACTGTAGACCAGTGAGTCGCACACACACTCCGATGCAGGGAGACCGCATAGCATCTGCCTCTGCTCCCACTGGGTGCAGCAGCAGCAGCAACTGCTACAGCTGCAGCTGCATCCTGCAACACACACCCTGGCTGCAGCTGCAGCAGCAGCTGCTGCAGCTGCAGCCATTGTAGAGGAGGCGCCAGCTGCAGTACGCTGACGTGCCGAAGTAGATGCAGCAAGTCAAGCAGTTGCAGCAGGTTAAGCAGCGGCCCCGGAAGCAGATACTGCAGCTACTACAACAACTACCGTTATCTGTTTCGGATGCGCCCTGATGNTACGAAGAAGACGTGCGTCTCTTGGGCCAGGCACGTGGCTGTGTTTTGCAGCAACAACAGGTAGAGCAGCAACAGCACCAGGAACAACAGCAGCTGCAACTTCAGCAAGCCCTGCAGGCAGAAAGGGATCATTGGTCCGCTCGTCTACAAGCAGCCAACGACGAATGGCGCAGGAAACTGGAAGACGAGCAGAGGCAGGCGGAGGCCAAACTGCAGCAGCAGCAACGGGTGAGTCCAAATGCACTTTGGTCGTATTCTTGTTTATCTTTCATAATGTTTGTTGCTGCGAAAAAGTATTGTTATTATCATTTCTATCATTCTGGTACTATTTTGTTTAGGGGCACGACTGCTGTTATTACCATAGTCGTGTTGCGCTGTTGTGTCTAAGTGATATCGAATTGTAGTGCTGTGCACGAACCTGCATTCTCAGCATGTTCTTCCACTGAACGAACTGTGCTTATTCTCGTATGATGAAGCTATTACGAGCAATTGGCATCGGCGTCAGGTTGCCGTCGCTGTCACGGAGCTAAGCTCTATCTTTGCTGTTGCTGCTCCGGCTGGTGCTTATCCTGTACAGTGAATGCGTATGGAGGTTGCAGATGGGTCTGCATTCTTCGCAACAGCATCACCTTAGAATAGATGCTAAAATAGCACTTTGTTGATGCAGGAAGCTCCAGCCTGGCACGAACTTCACGCTCTCGCCCTGGAGTCACGAAGGCATTCCGAAGAGTTCAAACGCCTGCTGCAATCGCTGCAGCAGCAGCAGCAGCAGCAACTGCAGCAGCAACAGCTGCAGTTGCAGCAGATGCAGCAGCAGCTGCAAAAGCAGCAAGGGGCAGATGCTGCTGGCATGGAGAGACAGTGTGAAGTACGCCGAAAGCCCTGCTTCTGAACATCAGCCATAATCTGAGGTTCCTCAACAGATGACACCTACTAAGGCACCAACCTTGTGATATCCTGTAAAGTAGAAGAGGACCTTTAAATCAATGAGGCAGGTTTCGCTGCTGCGGTGCGCATGTGTATTGACTGCGTCCATAGGCCTGTGGGCGGCAGGCAGAGATGCAGAGTGCAGTGGCAGCGCTGCAGCAGCAGCAGCACTCGCTGCAGCAGCAACAGCAGGCTCTGGTGCTGTTGGCCCAGGAGACAGCCAAACTGAGGGACGAGACGGAGCAGCGCACGAGGGCAGCATCTGCTAAGTGTGGCTTACACAATATTCGGAATGCCTCCAACTGGAGTGTACAATCACAAAAAATGTGGAGAGAACAATACGACCGCAGTAATACCTAGTACTTTATTAGGGAAGAGATGCTTCGTCAACAGTTGGAGCAGATATCTCTTGTGCTCGTATCATATATACATCCGAACACAAATACGCACGCATATCTATGAATGCATATATATAGATGTACCTATACCTATCCCTATGCGCGAGTCTCTTCGAGAAGACAGCCTCTTGCTGAACTCCGCAGAAAGAATGGGATGGCGCTGCTCCGTGTTGCAATGCAGGCTAGCAGCAGAGTCACTGCAGCTACAGAGCCTGCACCGTTCGTTGTTGGAGAGCCGACAGCAGCAACAACTGCTGCAGCAACAACAACAACAGCAGCTGCAGCAGCAGCAGCAATTCATTGAGCAACAGCAGCACGCCTTCGCTCAAAGACAGCTGCAGGCAGAAAGCGAAGTGGCCACAAAACAACTTGAACTTGACCAGGTACAGCTAAACCCCAACGATACACGACGGTGTCGCTGCGGTAAAAGCAAACAGCCAAACGAAAAATTAACAAATAAGCGACCAACCAAACCAACTCCCACCTGAACAGCACGCGTTAGTGTACAGCCAATGTCCTGCGGAACTCCTTCTGTTGCTATATCCTGATTGTTGCCACCCAGAAAGAGCGGGACATCGAACGGAGAGAAGGCCGCCTGGCAGGCGCAGTTGCCATCCAGGAAAAACAACAAAAGGCCCGGCGAGATTATCTGCAAACAGCGGAATCCCATTTGTTGAAGCTGCAGAGTGCCCTGCAGCAAGAGAGGCGAGCCTATACAGCCATGCACACTCACACGTGCATACACACCCAAATAGATNAAAGCAAACACATATATACGAGCATAAAGAAGCAGACGTGCGAACTTCTGTAACCACAAACGCGCACATATCAGAAGGACAGAGATACAAACCCAAACACGCAAACACAGCATACAAATGCAGGCGTAGACACCATAAGTAGAAAATGGAGCCCATTCACAGAAACGCAGATGCAGATGAAGGGAGAGTGAACAGACAGAAGGGAGACACGGATGAACAAAGACAAGCCAGCCCCGGGGATACCGGCACTCACACGCATATACACACTCGCAGAGGCAGAGCAATGCACGCACGCACACGCAACACGTCCTTCTCTCAGCTATGCCAGAAGAGAAAAGTAAGCAGAACTTCCCACTTCCCTTCCCCGTTGTTTGCTGTCTGGTGTTTACCGTGTAGATACCCTGTGGTGCCTGTTGCTTGTCCCGTCACATGTCTCATGTACTGTTTACGTTGTGTGTTTACGTTGTGTGCTTACGCTGTGCTGCTTGATGCGTGTTGTCTTTTCTTCTTCGGTGTGCTGTCTACAGATGCAATGTGCTGTATGCTCGATGCAGGCTTCTATTTGCTTGAATGTTGCTCACTAAGTGCTCCCTGTCCCGGATTTTGCTGTGGCTGTAGACAAGAACTGACGGAGACGGCCTTGGCTTTGGAGGAGAAGAGGCGGGCGCTGCGCCGGTGCTTCGAAGACATGGAGGTGCAGCGACTGGCATTCGAAGGACGCGCTGCTGCTGCAGCGGCAGAAGCAGAATCAGCTGCTGCAGAAGCCCGGAATGCCAAAACGCTGCAGCAAGAAAGTCTTCGAGCCAAAGAGGCAGTCCACCAACTCCACCGCCAGGCCAAAGACGTACGCATGATGCGCACACGCCGCTTCGCATGCATCAATCTACGCACAGAACGAGCATAGAGCTACACTGCAAAAACTAAAACGCAGACACCAAGGGGGGATTAAATGAGGCAGTCAGACCTTACTGCAGCCCTACAACAGCGGATAATCAGCAGTGGCAAATATATACCGCACTTCAAACACACGCAACACATCTGCACCAATAGCACGCTGGAGCTTAGATGAAACTGTCTATGCCATAGTTCAGACGTGTGAGGTATTGGGGGGAGCCAGGAGAGTGACGACTACAAAGAAGGAAGAAGTCACAAGTAGACAGAGGAGGAGACAGAGAGGGACAGGCGTTCTTTTAAGGGTAGAGGGTGTGTGATACGGTTGGGCCGGCGCAGGCAGAGAGGCAGCAACAGGAGCAACAAGAAATCATTAAATCGCTCTTGAGAGAAGTGGAGACTAGTCGGCTAGAGCTGCTGCGCATGCAGCAGCAGTCCGGACAACTGCATGTACGCCGTTTGTCCAGTGGCCGTTGTTCTGTAACGGGAGGCTCAAGGGCGCATTTGTCATTTGTTCTAAACCCCGAACCTATAGTTCCGCACAGGCGCGTCAGAGCTTTCTTCTGCAGCAACAGCCACAGCTCCAAATCCTTGACGGAGGTAGCAGACGCTCCCCAATCCAGGAGTTACAACCATCATGCTTCTAAACGCCTTCTCCCTTTGCAACACCTCCACCCAGAAGGTAAGGCACTTCAGAACAGATATATGCAAACGTGAGTATGCAAACCTGTATGCGCCCCTGTATAAGGAAGGTCATATGTATATGCATAAATACGCATATCTATAGGTACATTTTATATCTCATCATCGATATATGTGCGTCCGCTATGGTGTACGTGACGCTCTAAGCGGCTTAAACGGAACGGTTGCACGAGATTCGGGCAGAGGTGCACAGTGATGAAGCCAAATACCAGGGCTTCCCCATGTTTTCATGGGGAGATGGCATCCTCTGTTCGTGGCTATTCCCTTGTAGCTTTCCATCTCGTGTAGGAAATCGATGAGCCGTTTGCACTGCTGTCGGCTTCCTCACAAGGTTGCCTGCACATGTTGGCGTAGTAAATTCTAACAACATCAGAACCACAGGTCACAAATGTCGAGACTTGTTGAGTGGGGTTGGATGCTGTAAAGTGTTAAGGGGGACGTTTGAAAGTCGTTTAAGTACAGTGAAATGCTGAAGGAAGCGAGATAATAGCTATGGATTTTTCACTGTCGCCGAATAATAATGGTACTCCTGATTTCAAGAAAACACTTTTTTTTTTTNNGAGCTGTTTGGCCACTCCTGCGTCATCGTCATCGTACCTCAGGTGCATTTCAGGAGGCGCTGCACTCCTTGTCCAGAACAAGTGAGATCATAACGCAGAAAAGAGAAGCTGCTCATGAGCGACTGTGGAGCATACGCAATACAGCCTTCAACAATTCCAGTACAAGGTATGAACGAAATATCAACGGTGGGTGCTGTACTGCTGCAGCAGATGCCTGAAGTCCGGTGCATCGGCGTAATTCCATGCACTCGCCTTTCAATCTTATGCCGCCTCCTTCATGCTTTTAAATTTGTTGCATCTCATGTAAGGAGACAAAACCTTGCTTTGCTGCTGCAGCCACGGAGACCTGCGCCAGATTATGACGAGCGTAAAGGCCTTCCACGCTGGCCTAACGCATCCCAACAGTGCTTCTCTGGGCCGTCCACCGCCTCTCACTTGCATTCCGCAGCGGCAGCAACACCTTCAGCCCGCCGACAACGGCATTTCGGAGTTTACTGACGGTTAGTCTCCCCGCGAGTAGCTTGCTCACGGGCTGCGACAAGCAAGAAGCGTGCAGCCTTCTGAGCCCAATCGAGAGGCCTACTCGCCAGAATGTTCCACTTGTTTCAGCGGCACAAAGACATCAAGTAAAAATTCGAATGCAGAAGAAATGTGCCTTTACTACTTTGTGTGCTTCTTTACTCAAAAATATGCACAGCCATATTTCCTGGACACATGGGAAGTTTGCGCAACGGTGTTTTTGGATTTATTCGGAGTTATTTTGAGCTTGTCACTTTCATTGTTGGGGCCTTGTCACAGGGATGCTCGAAGCCACATGTGCTTCCCTTGCCAGTCTTGAAGAGGTCGCCGCAGCTCCCCCCATTAAGAATTTGTCCCCTAACTGAGGCCTTGCAAGAAAAGCAAAGGGTCAACTGGAGAGGATAGAACGCTCACAGCACTGTCTATGAGGAGCTCGGGTCCCCTGAAGTTTGAGGGTTTGTATGAGCGTCCGTAAACCCATCAGCGACGAAAACGTTCATGAAATTCGCTTATGTGGCAGGAAGACGGAAATCGGAAACCAAAAATTTCCGCCCAAAAGACTAACTGCTCAGAGGGAATGATACTGCTTGTGCAATAATGAGCGGTTGTTCTGCATCGATGAAAGCCAATATTGTAAACAACAGAGTTTGGCCAAACCATGATATTCGGTAATAACAAACCGCCCGCCAACATGAGCAAACAACAAAGGGGCTCTTGTTGTGTCCATTCCTCATAAGAAGCCTAGTGCTGCAAGGGAAAGAATTGGATTACATGGGCTGTTCCTGTGCCTAGATCTGCCGTAGGGTTTGCTTCTACCGTAGAGCACACCCAATGTGTGATGCCCTGGGGTTGTGCAGGGCACCTTCAGGAATAACTGGAAAGAGAGCCGCCCACACGGCAGGCCACAGAACAGGCGATCAATAAAGCAGCTTCTGATATATTAATGTATTTGTAACAACGGAAGTAGGAGGGATACGAAAGATTTCACAAATATTCAATAACACGACCAGAGAAAGCTTGTATAGCGCGCCACGCAGCTGTACGAATGGCGGCCCAAGGTACCCTACTATATAAGTGCCGGACATAAGTTACATTCTCAATGGACAACCAGAAATTATGAGAACCAGATTCCTGATATCTGTGCTGCACTTAACCGTTAGGCACACCGGGGTGCTCCTGGGGGTAGTTGTGAGTTCCCAGCATGTCAGTTGGTCTGGCTGTAGCCTGCAACTACTTCGCGGGTTGTTCCCGCTGATGGCTGCTGTGCAGGAATCCGCTCTAACGGACTGCCGCTACACTGGTTCACGCGCAACGAGTATACTCTATATAGAATCTTGTATCCGTCGACGATACCTTATATCTAAAGAAACTAATACAATTATCTTATTGTAGTATCGGAGCACTACACAATGTCCTCACAAAGTGTTGGTGTTGTGTTGGTTAGAATAGGGCACGCAAGTGGTAGACAAAAGTTCCATGATCAGTTAGGCTTGGCAAGGGCAGTCCACAATAATGAGGAGCGTAGTTCTGAGGCCTTCTGCGTTGGTCTACCGCTATACCTCCTACAGTACCCCAGGGGCTAGTCTCCGGTCCCAGCAGTGGCTGGTTGTCGTCCGCGCCTTCCTGGTCGGTGCTGTGCGGAAATCCGCTACACCGGATTGCCGCTAACTGACTTACGTATAACATCGAACACAATATTTGGTGTACTGTACAAAAATCGGCCTTGCCTCTTCCACGAAAGTGATAGAAGTAACGCATTGTAGTGCTCACGTACTGCACTAAACCCCAAACCCTAAAAGTCCCCAAACCATAGATGACAGGGGGGCATTTTGCACTTCGCGGGCCCCTCGTTATTGAAGACGATGCCAATTGTTCGAACAACCGCCTTCGAAGCTTACGGCTTAGGCCTTAGGGGTTAGAGTTAAGAGTTTTCCGTCTGTAGTGCGTGAGCACTACAATGCATTAGCTCTTTTAGCTCTGCTAGCGGGACGAATATAATTAGTGGCTAGCTGGCCAAATATTGAGTTTCGCAGTCATATTTTGGCCAAGTGACAATAATCCGTTAGAGCAGCTTCCCATCCAGCATCCGCCAACACCAGCAGGCAATACCTGTCAGGAGGGTGCATGCGCCACACCGTTGCAGTTGTAGCAGTGTGCATGTGTGGACTGCTTCGGGGCAGTCCTCGCAGGGACCTTCGGGCCCTGCGGCCCCACGGACCCGCAGGCCATTGTTCTCATCTATTTTCTATGAACATTGAAAGTCAATCTTTAGCAGAATCAACTCTCATGGTGTGTACCACGTGCTCCATATAGGGTCCTTCTGGCGTGACTACCCGCTACCATACATTTGCTAGGGATGCGACAACGGACGCGCTATCCTCCGAATTTCCCGGATGCTACTGCAATTTACGACTCCCTTGCGTA